AAACAAAAAGTAATGTTAAGTGAAACATGTGACATGAAAATAAGAGAAAAAAGAATAAGTGAAAAAAAGTAGAAGTAAGAAGAAAGATACCTTCTTCATTGGCAAGTTCTGGACTAACATGGGAAGGGAGCACTCTGTTATCCTTGTAATGATAATGATTGTCGCACTCAAGTTCAGTAACAACAATGCGCTTCAGCCACTTCACCATTCTGCCACCGATAAACCCCGGAATAATCATGCGAACGGGGAAGCCGTGATCCGGTGCCAGAGGCTCGCCGTTTTGCATGTACGCAAGGATGATGTCGCGCGAGGGGTCCATGGCCATCTCCCTCGAGATGCTCGTTCCGTACTTCGATCCGCCGCCGCCGGGCAGATTCTCGGCGCCCTCGAAGCACACATGAAGCGCACCCTTCGCACGTGTAAGGATCCCGCAGCGGCGCAGCACGTGACGCAGCGGCACGCCGCGCCACACCGAGGTGGAGGTGCCGGCGGAGCCCCAGTTGAAGCCGATGGTCTTCTTGACCATGTTCTGCTCCTTGCGGCGGTTCCCGGCGCAGACGAGTGTGGCGGGGAACTCGCGGTGGGGGAACTCGCGCACGAGGCGTTCCATGGTGAACCGGGTTGGGCGTTTGACTAGACCGGTTATCTCAACGGTCCAGTCTTCCCACTTGGCCTTGGGAACTGGACCGTGGTTGCGGACGTAGTGGAGCGGGACCGGTGTGATGAAGCCGTGGTGCATGAGACGCGGCAAGGGGGATTCCGCGTTGAACGGGTGCTTCCCTGTGAGGCGAACCATGGAGGCGTTCCGTTCGACCCACTGATCTGCCGTTCCCTCGTCGCGCGGGTCCATAACCGACGCCTCCGTTTCCGCGTTCGCTTTTCGTATGAGTTCTTTCATGTACGAAGCGTCGTCGTTTTCATCCTCGTCGCTGCTGGATGAGTCCAGATCGAAATCCAACGGCAGCGGGGGCTTCAGATCCTGCCCGCAACTGCGAACGACGCGGTTCATGTGAGTGCCGAATTGACGGTTGTCAACGAAAGCCGCCATTGTGAGAAAGGAAGAAAATTACGAGTTCTTTTGTTTCTCTTTTTGTCTTTGTTTTGTGTAACTCTCTGTGGGAGAGAAAAGAAAACTGGTTGTTCTAAGATTGTGGATTGGGGTTTTTATAGAGTGGAAGAGCCATGAAAGAGACGAGTCTTCCCTCACTTCATATCTATTTCTTCACTAAAAATATTCTTTTTAAATGAGGTACTTAAATGAACGAGTATTTACTTTTGGAAATAAAAAATCATTTGGTTTCGAAATATATGAAAATAGATAATTATGTCTTCAGGGTGAAGTTTTATGCTTATTAATGTTTTGAGATTTCTTTAACTCCCACATACAGATAATCATTTTTATACAATAACTACTTTATTTGTTGCTTTCTATAAAGGTTGAGAAAATAAATAATAAATATTTTTAAATTTATAATTTAGTTATAAATATAACATAAAAATTCATTTGAAAGTTTACAAAATTAATATTTTTATAAAAATATAAATAGTAAATTTTGTAAAAATATAAATGATAAAGTATATGGAAAACTTGTTTTATCGTTCAATTTTAATATGAATTAATAGACTTATATAGTTTATGTATGAACGAACTTCTGTAATATATATTGTCATATTCGTTTTATTAATGTATAGACATATTTATCTAACATTTGTTACTATTTTTGGATAATTAATATATGAAAATTCATCTAATAGATATTTCTAAACTCATGTAATCAATGTGTAGAATGATTAATCTAATGTATTTTTGCTATATTTGTCTAATGATTTTATGGACATACTCATATAATTTGTATTGTTAAAATAGTGTAATTAGAGCATCAAAACAATCGTTTTAATATCTTTTGTTATACTCGTCTAATAAATGCATTCTTATAATTATCTAAGCAATATATGAAAGGACTTTTATAATGTTTTTTGTTATAATCATCTAATTAATGTATGAATAGACTCGCTTATTTTTATATTGTTTCATATCTAATGATTTTTGTTATTCTCATTTAATGAGTATATTAACATACTCGTTTAATGTGTATATTGTTAGATTCATCTAATGTTTATACATATATTTGTCTAGGGTGTATTGATAGATAGACTCATAATCAATGTACATCAATATATAATTTTAAAAACTAATGATAATACAAATGTATTAGTCGTATATTTTAAGACAATTAGTTTATTAGTTTTTACCTTTTATTTTGGTGTTACTAGAGTTTAAGGTTTTATATTCAAGTTAGAAATAGTAAAAATTGAATTCAAATAATATAAAACTAAATTTCTAATATTAGAAACTGTGATTTTTTTAAAGAATATATATTTTAAACCTTTGAAATGAACTATTAAGCATAATGTTTTAATTTTTTTTTGTTACAAATATAATTTTTTATAATATTATATAAATTTCTATGTACATAGATTAATGTTAGTTTATTTATTATATAATATGATTTTATTTTTTACATACAAAAATATGAAAAAGATTGAACAATAATAATATTTATATTATAATTTAAAATAAAAATAATAAATGTAACTTTTTGTTGACAATATTTTGTAAAAGAAAATTATTTTATATGATAGTGTCAACAGCTTGTATTTTCAATAAATATGTATTACTTTTTAAATAATATTATTTTAAGAAATAAAAGTAAAATATATTTTTCAAAATTTAGTTTTATTAAATAACCAATAATTAAAAATCATAAAAGAATAAAATTAAGAATGGAAAAAATAGCATAGAAAAAAAATGAATACTTCAAATATATGTTATTTTTGTCTAATGTTCATCGTCTAATGTCTCTTGTTAGACTTGTTTAATCAATATGTATTATATTAAGTCTCAAGAATAGAAGCTACTATTATCTCAAGTTATTATATAATTGAGTATATAACAGACTTGATCATAGAAAGGAGATCTAGACATACATAAATATAAAATCATAGTAATAGTTATACTGTTTCACAATTAAGTTCTTACAAAATCTTGTATAAACATCTTTAGTTTCCAAAAAGGCTTAATAGCCTATTTTGTCCCTAATTTTGTTGATTTTTCTCAAAAAGGTTATTCGTTTGAAAAGAGTGTCAACTTGGTCCTCATTTAGTAAATATTGCATCAACATCGTCTCTTCCATTACATAGAAACAAACGACGTTAATGGATTGATGATCTAGCAGTGTAGTGACGTGTTTAGTATTTCCTTTAATTATAATTAATTTGGATTAATGTTTTCCTTTTAATGACTTTTAATTAGCAATTCTGAATTAATTCATATATCTTAATCTGATACATAGAATTGAATCTAAATTAACTTTCAAATGGATGACTCACGCTTTTAGGAATTTAGATTTTCTTTTCTCAACTTTTGGTTTTTGAAAACCCTTGGCTCGTTTTTATTTTCTCTCAATCAAACCCAGTTTGAGTTGGTTCTTCTTCGCGCAATGAGCATGGCAAGGAGCAGGCCTTCGTCTTCTCTGTTTCAATTTGAGTTCGTTTTAGGCAAAGAAGGGAGACACCTTTCTTGTCCCTTATCACTNGATTAATGTTTTCCTTTTAATGACTTTTAATTAGCAATTCTGAATTAATTCATATATCTTAATCTGATACATAGAATTGAATCTAAATTAACTTTCAAATGGATGACTCACGCTTTTAGGAATTTAGATTTTCTTTTCTCAACTTTTGGTTTTTGAAAACCCTTGGCTCGTTTTTATTTTCTCTCAATCAAACCCAGTTTGAGTTGGTTCTTCTTCGCGCAATGAGCATGGCAAGGAGCAGGCCTTCGTCTTCTCTGTTTCAATTTGAGTTCGTTTTAGGCAAAGAAGGGAGACACCTTTCTTGTCCCTTATCACTGTTGTTGTTTTGATCTTGCAAAGTAGCCTTCTTCTTCTTCTTCTTCCCATTCTGGTTCGTTTCGTAGGGAGGGAGGCTAGGTCTGGTGACTCAAACGCGACTCATCTCCACGACGTGTGGGTTCATTCACCAACATCTCTACAGCGGCGAGGGTCTTAGTTAGTGGGCATTTTCGTGGCAGTGCATGGCATTCGCTTGGGGTTTCGTTTGGGGGATCTTGGGGTTCCTTTTGGATTTTCGTTTTCTCCTTCTCTGATTCGACTTTGCAAGGACTTTTGTTCTTTCCCGGTGCTCTGTTCCTGATTAGGGTTTATGAAATCTGGAATTTGGGGATTTTGGAATCTGGTTCTTACGATTGGGGTTCTCCTTAGGTATTTGGGTCTGCAAATTGGGTTTGTTGAATCTTCTGTGTAGGTTGCGCGATTTGGGGATGAGAGTGTTAATTTAGGAATCTTTGGTTCTTCCTTGTTCTCGCGAATGGGTGGAGATTTTGTTCTTCTCTACGGTTTAGGGTTCGATTGGGGTCCTTGTTATTATTGGAATTCTTGGTTCGTTTGATGCAGAGGGCTTTTGAATTTTAGGGTTAGACTGACACTGTCCATTCCTTGGCGGTGATGAGGAGTCACGGAGGCAGAAAAAATAATAATAATAAGAATTTTAATTGCGCTGTAGGCCCATAGTCTGTAATCTCCACCTCAACCTCTAATTACTTAACACATCACCACACATACAACCTTAAAAATGACATGTTACCATTATCTTCTGCCAGATCATCAATCCATTAACACCGTTTGTTTCTATTTAACGGAAGGTAAGACGTTGACATAATATTGTCTTTTCAAACGAAGGACTTTTTGAGAAAAATCAGCAAAACTGGAAATAAAATAAGCTATTAAACCTTACAAAAACAACCACGAGACAATGAGCTATAAAAAATAATCATATATAATGTATATCCATCAAACCAAGGAAACAAACACTGTTGAGAAACACGTCCATTCCTATTGAAGAAATAATCTTCGCAAAGACAAGAAAATATACAATTACAACCAAAAGAAAGTAAACCTATTAGTTTTTTAGGTGTTACATTTTGTTTTGATCTCATTAAAGCCACAAACTTTCACAATTTGAAGTTAAAACTTATATGTGAGGTTTTGAGATCCAGAGTGGTTATTTGTTGAATGCTATTACTTTTGAAAAGCATGAAGGACTTTGCCCAGGTTTTCTATGGATTGAATCAATTGCTTGTTTTGATCATATGACAAAGGCCGTGTTTTGAAACCCTTTTTATTGGCCAAATCATAAGTTAGCCTTCTAAAAGAGAACACGTTGTGTTCTATTCCGTTGAACCCGTAGCCTTAAAATTATACACTAAACACCCTTGATTGAAAAATCTTTACCTTGAGTTAAGGTAGAGATCTTGTGTGGTATTGTAAATGTTCAAGTTTGGGGTTTTGGGGAAACATTGAAAAAGGAAAAAAGGCATTGAGCTAAGAGCTTAAAAAGTAAGAATATGCAAAGAAAAGAAAAGAAAAGAAGCAAAGCTCAATGCAAAATGCAAAAGCAAAGGCAAAAGAAAGTTGGAAATGATAAGAAAGATTGTGTGTTATATTCTCTTAACTCAAGGATTTTGTGATCCAGAAAAACCATTTCTTGTTAGCCCAGCCACATTATAAGCCATTGAAAAAAGTTCCTTGTGATGATCATGCTTGTGAATGTATTTGTTGTGGTTAAATGAAAGGCAAGTGATTCATGTGACATGTGATAGGGAGTGAATGAGTGAAAACAACTTTACCTCTTATACACTGTGTGTTGAGTGAAACACTTACCATATGAGGAAAGATCCATAAGCACATGAACAGCCATGCTAATTGATGTCATCATGAAAAAGAGGCATTTGTTGGAACTTAAATGACTTGTGACACTAAAGCATGTGCCACATCTTAATTAACCTTGGTCTAGGTGGAGGAAGTTATACTTATCTTGAAAAGAGGATTTTGAATGAGTGAACCATCATATGAATTGGTGGAGATGGAGTTCCATTGTTTGCTTGAGGACAAGCAAAGTTCTAAGTTTGGGGTTGTGATAACAGTTGAAAAACGGTTATTTTTGCTTAAAGTGATACTAAAAGCAAACCCTTTAACTTAGAAACTAGCTTGAAATAATGCATTTTTTATTATTTTCAGAAAATAAGAGAGGGCTGTTGTTTTTTTTTTTTAGACAGGTTT